TCTTGTACTTGTTTGTATCCATTTCTAGTAGATGTTCAACCAAAATACATACATGTATAGACAAAAAAAAAGTTCGATGACCAAAATCGCATTCATGTGTGTGTGTGTGTGTGTATGTATGCTGGTACAATCAATGCTAATAAAACCTCAAATGGGCAATGGCACATATGATTTTTAATCTAAAACTTTATTCACCATGAAGAAGCGTGTATTATAATATCCTTATTTTTGACCGGGTAAATAAATATGTAAAACGCAAATAATCATATTTTTCAAAGTCGGACATACGTAGGGCCTTTTCTCTCAAACTGATTCTTCCGTTTCCATAAGCTAAAGCTAACAGTACTCTGTTTAATGAATTAGCACAGAATTGCTTATTAGTTAATGAATAGTAGAGCCACGGCAACAGTTGTAAACATCTGTAATGAACGTTTCGGAATTACACATATTACATCTTCAGCAAATCTATGAAAATAACGAATTGAACAATCTTTAATATAATTACTAATATAACAAATACAATGAATATTGTTGGGAAATTATAAAACATTTAAGTTTTAATAAAAAGGACAAAGAAGAGCTATTTGAATAAACCAAGGGGGGACGAGATATCATTTCTGTTGAAGCTTTGATTTTCGTTCATAATATGTAGACCCTTTTTTATGAACAGTTCGTGATCATTAAATCCGTAAGTTAGACTCAAAAGTTTTCTAAGGAAATGGGGTGTGATGGCGTTTAGTTGTAAGAGTATACAGGAGACTTAGGTGGAGTTCGAAGTTTAAGTCCAGTTCTGTTAGAAATTCCCATGTGTTCCAACACACGTATTTGTATATGGCGAGAAGTCTTGCTTGTGTAGGTGGCTTTACAGCTACCACGTGTATATTTATATACGACTTTTGAACGTACGAGTTCAAGGTCAAATGTCTTCGTTTTCCACCAAATGAATCAATTGCTTGTTTATTTATTGAATTTCATGCAAAGCTAATCGAGGGCTACCTGCGCTAGCCCTCCATAACTTATAAGTGATAAACTAGAGAGAAGGCAGCTAGTCAACATTACCCACCGCCAACTCTGTCTTTACCAATGAAAACTGAGATTGGTCGTTGCATTATAACGCACCTATGGCTTGAGGAGGCATAAGTCTTGTGATATATACATTCTGGACATCTTTATTTGCAAAAAGCTGCTTTTTCATATCACAGTATTTTATAACTACAGAAAAAAATGTTAGTGTCCAAATGAAAGCAGTCATAAAGAAATGTAAACTAAAATAATTCAAACATAGCTTTTAAATTTCAACCTTTGAAAAAACTCGTAAGTGATTTGCTCCAGTGGGCCAATGAATAGGTTGGCTTTGTTGTTTCTCGTGCTGGAACGATAAACCTATGTCGCATATTAAAGAAATATGTGCATGATTTCACAGATAACCTTTTCGAAAATCATGAATGTCTCGATTAAAAACTTTTCGTACATATAATAAATTCTGTTGGTAAATAATAAAACCATCTAGAAGAATTCATGTATTCAGCTGTTTTTTTAAACGTTATTTCTTAGCATTCACGCAGTAAATTTAGGAAATGATATTTCATAGCCGTTTGAAAATTCAATCGATTTTACACTGATGACAGTTATAAAAAGATGCGTGTAACCCTAAAACTGGTGAGATGTGTAAAAATTATTTTCAACTGTACTATATGAAAATTTTTTAACGTTTCTGACCGGGTACAAGCATTATAAATATTAATAACTTCTATAAATTGTATAAGTCATTTCAGCCTAACGTCTCGTATATTTAAATATATCATAACAACATATCGAATTACCGTAGAGATTGGTAAAACGCCATTTTGGATAGTGTAACAAGTTTTATTAACATGGGTAAGATCTGTACTACAATTTAACAACGCCGTCTATATTGCTTACACATTAAACCAAATAGCTATTTCAGGCTCTTTGATTACGCTCTCACACAATGCGCATACTGCTGACATCTATTGAACATGTTTTGAACTAAATCCTGAAAATTGTTTTGTGGAACTACATAACCAGAGACAAGATAGAATACCGAGATTTTGAAAAGTTGTACTGATAATTTTTAGAAATAAGTATACTTGGAATAAGAAGTAACAAAGTATGTTGTACTTAAAATGATCACATATGCATTTTTAATTTGCATAAAAAAATAATAAGCATTCTTTCCCACTGGAATTGTAAGTCATTAATTAAGTACGTAATCAAAGAGCTGTTTTGTACAAAAAGAAAGACTTATTTTTTTTTGGCGTCTGACAGAACGCACATAGCCCATCGTGTTACCTAGCACTAAAAAACAAAGAAATGAACATCATATGTTTCTTCCGCATTTTTTTTTTTTTCATCTTGATCATGAAGATTAATTTCTTTCGCGTTTTGAACAATCTGCGTGCTGAATGATCTTTTCCACTCGCATTTAAACTTCATGTTTTTATATCTGGTGAGTTTGTAAACTCCCCGATAAGCTTGAGGGATAATAACGCTTAAAGTCAGATTTCGATCCCTGCAGTGGCATAGCTCATTGTACGGTTTTGTGCTTAAACAAAAAAAAAAAGAAGAAAAAAAAATCGACCGGAATTTTTTTTTGAATTCAACATTTAATATGTGAAACCCATTATCCTCATTATCATCTAGTGAGCTAAAAGAAGATAAAAAAATCATTATTCTCATCTCAACTACAATTCTATATTAATTGTCAAGGAGGTTTTAGAAATAGTTTGAGTTACCACAAAGTTTAAAAAATCACACTTGGGGGCAGTGAATGCTTTATAATGGTAACGATCAAATCCAATTACACCGTCAGACAACCGTTGGCGATGGTTGCTGTTGTGTAGCTCCGTATCTCTAGTCTAGCGGTTCAAAAGTTAGTGATGGCTACTCATAGCCATCACTTGTTTAGCTTTGCGTAAAAAGTTTTCAAATAAACTTACTTTGACTTTTAATTTACAGTAGCATATTTCACAGCACTTTTGGGTAATCTTAAGAAGCCATGAAGAATACTCCATGATTAGAAACTGGTAAATCAAATTATAGTAGATAGATTAAAAACAAACTAAATTTTCTAAAAACAGTTATTTGTTATTAAATATCAAACAAATTATATTCGGCAAAAAAAAAAAAGTAGTCGATTAAACGGGGTCATTGGTTCTACTCTTTTAGTATAGTTCAAACTCTAAGTATTGGCAACTAACCACTTGGCCACGACCAGTCCATTAATTAATGGTGACATTTTTATTAATTAAAACCTGCGAGTTAAATAGCATACTTGGATCGATATTAACTGGATGTTGTGCCAGCTTTTTTGTAAGTTTACTTTATATCACCCTGCCTTGTTTTCCAAGGTTTGAATTTTATTGAATGAAATATAATTGTATTTCTACTTGTCGGTTTGTTTGTTTGTAATTAAGTACAATGCTACATAATGGGCTATCTGTGCTCTGCCCACCACGGGTATCGAAACCCGGTTTCTAGCGTTGTAAGTCCGCAGACATACCGCTATGCCACTGGGGGGCTGTACTTGTCGGAACACAATTTAACAAGAAAATATATCCTGTATGCAATTAATTGTACAGTTTCATGTTGACTAGAAGCTATGTATTTGGTTTACTGAATTAAGTTCATGTTGTAGCTCGGATTAATAGAGGGAGCCATTAAAATAATGTTTGGAATACGAAATAAATTTCTTGGGTCGTAATACATTAAGAAAGGATACACACAACGATCAATAAAATGTACTTTTTGGAATATTTTCTGAACTACTTTATATATATATATATGTTTAAAAAAACACATTGAGCATGCATTTTTCATGATAGTATGAAAATCATACAAGATCAAGAAATGGATAAAAAACAAAACCAAAGATTACCAACACTTTTCGTAAAAGGTTTGTTTTTTT